GGGGTACAGGTTCGCATCCCAATGAGATGCAAAGGATGCAGCAGGAACGACCCAAGTTGCACCACTAATACAGTCGAATTGTAATTTATTCGTATGCAGTTTAACGATGCTGTATCAGCCGCTATGCAACAGTTGCGACTGCAGTCCGTAACATTTACTGCGGAGTTCGCTTCTTGTAACAATCGGCTGGGGAAAGAGGAGCAGAAATACATACAGAATTTTTGTGGGGAAGTCAGGGCGAAGACGAGCTTGGTAAACAGATTGTGAGGCTGGTAGGTGGATGGAACTGGCTCAGGATCGTGTCCAGTGGCGGGCTTTGGTATTAGCGGTGTTGAACTTTCGGGTTCTGCTACCAGACAATACCCCTGCCATGAAGGCATCCCTCCATGCAGGTGGCAGATCGAACAGTGCACGAAGTAGCTTCCCGCTGCGCCGCTAGAAAGCGTTCAAATCTGTGCAATTGTTAAGGGCCACGCATCAGTTGAGGAGCTTCGTTCTTCGGTTCACTGGTTCGGACGCCATTTGTTCGGGCAACAATGAACCTCGGCCATGTTGCTCTCGTTGTGTGTGAAAGTTCCGTGCGGCCGGCCGGCGCAGTCTTGGACTCGCAACAGACCTGTACACGCCTCTTGGCAGACGGATTCTGCGCAGGCGCGGAAGCTGTAGTGATGATGAGTTGTGTGGGAAGCACATGGAGCTTCATGGTCGAGAGGTTGGCACTCCTTCGTATTTGGGGGGTGGTGGTCCTGAGTTCAAATCTCGACTCGGAAACCGATTATCGTGACTTTTTTCTTAGGTTTCTTCAGTCGCTCTTGTAATCTCGACGTAGTACCATAAGTACGCTACGACTGCTTCCTTCCACAGCCTTTCAATTCAGTATTCACTGATAATCCCACTGACAGCGTCGCTAACAAAAGAGACGTGTAGCGTGCAGCTGTCACATGACCTGTAGCGGTGGTGACTGATGGCCCGAAGTGTAGAGAATCGGCAACCGCTCCTGGCCTCAGAAGGCGCCCGAGGCCACACGCCACACACAGCAGTGAACTGTGCGGGGTGGAGCCGTGGCCACAAGGGACATTCATTTTGCTCCACAAAAGTCGACAGCAAGGGGAATTCGGCCGTTTCTATGGAAACGGGGACACCAGTGGACATAGTCATACACAGCTCGGCTCTGGTTGGAAAGGCAATAAAATGTACGTGAAGTGACCTGACGTTGAGTTGGCAGCTGTCGTGAGGAGCCTCGAGCTGTAAGACAAAGTGTTTTCTGTGCGGTCCGCCACGGAAAGTTAGGACACACAAAGGAGAACTGAAAGTCGAGGCTAGTATTAGTAGCCTCACGGCTCGGTCAGAATGGCAAGACAGAAAAAAAAAAAAAAAAAACATGGCCATGGGTCCCACAGGCCCCGAAAGCAACAATTACTATGCTGGCGAAGACCAGCAGCAAATTACTGCTCTGCTGGAGGCTAGTGAGTACACTCGGGGCTGCTAGCAGTTACGGCCCTGTGACCCAGCCGCCCATTGCGATCACAACAGGGCAGGACTCAGTTCACAAGAACAAGGACCCGTGCTGTCCTGTCAGTAGCACAGCCTGTATGGCATCGAATGGTACTGTTACATGTACATCCATTGCTAGGCAACGGGTTGGTTAACACGTTCCCGCAAAAGGACGTCTGTTGCTAGGCAACGAAGATGTAAACACGCATCCTTAGCAACAGAAGACAGCGATTTTCGTGGGGTCCGTGCAGAGGAGTTATCTTGAAGACAGTCAGCTCTACAAGTTCAGTTCTCGGTAGGAGATAGCCACGGGAAGTTCGTAGATGTAGAAGAATTAGAAGTCGGCCTGTGGAGACTTTATGGTGCAGTGATATCTGGAGTGTGACACTCATAGTTCCTGTGTTAAAATCCGTTGCCAGGAAACGGATAGGGAAAACTCTGCAGAGGAATAGCGATTGTTGAGATCTGTTACCTAGCAACGACTAGTGTAAACAGGCGTTGAAGACGGTATTTATGTGTTATAATTACAGTAATCCTTAGAGTGTTATAATACGACCTGAAAGGGGTCAATAAATCGATTCGATAATCGAAACCCGCCTCCACAGTCACCCCTACACGTGACAGTATTTTGTATTCTCCTACTGAACTTGTTACGATCACACTCGGTGGACTCATGACTTGGAAAGGATTTCGAAGGAAGTCGTGGTACTATCCCAGTACTTGCCTCCAGGAACTAAGGAAGAGCACGAAAAGTCGCTGCCAAGATTCGAACCGACCACCTCCCGAATACAACTGCAAGCGTTACCGTTTCGCCAGGTCACTCGATATTCTCCGCTGTGTCTGGTTGTAGAGGGACCCGTGCGGTTTTCGCCTGCAGACTGTGCTGTCAGGCACCAAGGACGTGCAGAGCAGACAACTCGTTCGTAGCGTTAAAGGGGCAAATAAAATGCAACGAAAGTGCCGGAGGCCGCTCGCTTATGACAAGCGCGAGTGGCTAAGCATAATTCGAGAAATCAAGCCTGAAGTTTTCTGTCTCTTGGGATGTGACGACATGTAGCCCCGCAGAAGTTCACCGACGTTTCGGAGGAACGTATCGCCTCCATGTTCAGGATCGATGATGCTCTGGGCAAGCGAACAAGTTCAAGCTTCAGCTTGCGGCTTGTTTAGAGCGAGCTCATTGATAAGCTTAATTTTCCACCCTGAGGATGGAGGCAGTACGTTCCTCCGAAACATGATGGACTTCTGCTGGACTGCACGGCACCACGTCCCAGAGGACACAAAAATCATAGTCACCGTTGCAAGAAACTCAAACCGAACACAGTCACCGGTCTGATCACGAAACTGGGAGTTCAGTAGCGTCACAACAACAGCTGGCCGCTATACTGTCCTTAGCCACTTGAATCCCGGGATTCATCTTAATATTATCCTCCCGTCTACAATTTGTGTTTGTAAAACATTACTTTGTATGTTTTGTTTCCTTGAACGTGTTACATGGCCGACCAATCTCAGCATCCTGGTTTAGGCATGAACTGTCTTATCAAGAGCAGGTGAGCAGTACACGTTGTTACGTGTACCGTTGTGTAATTGTCTCCAGTCAGAAGCTACTTCATTTATCCCTGTTCTCATGCACCTGTGAGATGATATCGCGACTGTATCGAACCCAATGCGTGAGAGTGGCTGACATCTAGCGTCAAATCTTCGGTACGGTTATATTGCAGACTGCTTCGTGTGAAGCTAACAGTCGCTCATCTGCTTAAGGAATTCCGCACCTCTTGTTCTGGGCCAGCTGAATCCAGTCCGCGTCGTCACATCCTGTGCAGACCCTCGTGATTATAAAGTAACAAGTGAAGGGGAAGCCCCTGGTTTTCAGGGCGGAACTCGCTGTCACGCCAAGTTGGCACCACTGCCTGATTACTGTGTGGTCAGTTCAGAGGCGGAACGTTTGGTGCAAAAGGCACTGCACCAGGGACTTGATCCACGTATACCGGACAAGCCACCGCATCGCTTTGAAATAGGCCATGACCACTTCACGGTTCTATACTTTAAATTGAAGCATATATTGTGTGTATTTAACAAATGGGGTTCATTATAATTTTCTGTTTTACCGTCCAGGCAACAGCTAATAATAATGTAATGCACGTTGTACAGGCCGGTCCAAAAGTCAGTCAACTGGTGAGTAAAATATCAGCTAAAACACGTACATTATAAATGTATTTATTATTTACGGAATTTACTAAATGCTCCATGTTCAGTGCACAACTCACAGCGCCGATACCGTTCTGCAGACTGGCTGGGTTAAATCTGATGAAAATTTCCGTTAATTCGAGGTTAACCGACTTTTGGGCTACTCTGTATCCTGTTTCGTGCCACGGACCTGACAGAGAGCACCAGTATGTACGGTAGGGTTATGGCTACCGCGCGTGATGTGACGCTGGCAGGGCGGTGGCTAGTGTAGTGTAACCTTCTTGTATTGTATTGTATATTGGACGTGCTCGGTTCGAATCCCAGTAGGGACACCGGCTATTCTTACTTTTCGTCATTTTCTCGGTCCCTCCGGGCAATTTTCGGGGTAGTGCCTCGATTAGACCACGTGCCGTTCCTTCCACGCCCTTTCAAATTAACTCATCATCATTCATGCAATGACTCGACGCTATGCAGCAGTGTCGTTAAATAAGCGCATGCTTATACGTATACACGTATTTGTGAAGTGGTCTAGTTGCTCAGCCCTGTTGTTCTGCAGCCTCAGGGTTCGTCACTCGGGGACCGGCACTTTGCTCCGAGAGCCGCAAGGGAAGAGCTCCGCCATTTATCACTTCTGTGATTCCACGGGGCTAATTCCTTCCTTGAGGAGCTAACAGTTGCTCAGCTACTCAGGAAATCCCTAGGATGTCATTCAGCTCAAAAGTTGATAACCGTGCTCACAAAAGCCCTGTCCTGAGCCAGATTAATCCAACCCATACCCCCTTCCTATTTTTAAGAGACGCATTGTAATATTGTTCTCCCATCTGTATCTAGATTTTCTAGTGGTCTTTCTCCTGCTTACGCACTTGTCACCAATGCGTGCTACATGGCCTGACTCCAGTAGCCAGGGTGACTCCAGGGTCCAGTGGCCGACTGTTGTGATCAAGGTAATGAACCTTGGGGTTACATAACGAGTGGCGGGCGTGCGCTCCATGCAGTCCCTGAATTCGGTGGCAACACCTCACGATCCGCTGTTTGCCTCGGGCCGTGTGAAGGCGGTTCGCACTTGCTTGCGTCACACAGTACAAGCAAACTTTCGAACGCAGCCATTTGTCAGCGATTCGGGCTCTTATCTGTTGGTCTGTTGGTAAGCGTAACTCGCGGCCGGCCGTCACGTGTTCTCATGAAATGCAACAAGTTGTGATAGTGCCTCACTATTCCCTTGAAGATGGAGGCAGTATACGCCTTCGAAACAGCGATATTCACGTACAGCCTGGCCTCAGATCTTGTGCACGACAGAACGCTGGGTCATTGCGTGTACTCACCTCGGTATCCTGTCCCGTGCCAGCACTAAACGGCCTCCATAGTGCACGTACACTGCACTACACACCACTACTCAACACTTCCCCACACCGTGACTCGCCAACTGGCACTGAGCTGAGCCCGTCCTCCGGTCCGCTCCGGTCGCTGTGGTCCTACCTCGCCCCCTCCACCGGTCGCTCGCAGCTCCTCCTGCCCGCCACACACTGCAGCACCGACACAAGTTGTGCCTGGCGTTCTCGCTAGATTTTTCTCTTCTCCACAGAGGCCAGACCGGCTCTGGGGCCCACCCAGCCTCCTGTCCAGTGGGTACTGGCAGCGCTTTCCCCAGGAGGTAAAGCAGCCGGAGCGTGAAGCTGTCAACTCACCTTCATCTAGTGCCGAGAGCAAGAAAGGGGGGGGGGCTATACCTGCACCCCCCCCCCCCCCCTTCCTT